GTGACAAAAGTAATTATTGCATTGTTATTTTATATGCTTATATATCTATTTAGTTAAATAATATAATATTGAGATATTTTTCAACTATATAAATCAAAACTATGTGTAATACAGTAGATACTGTCTAATTGCATGCTATCTGTCAGAGACTTTTTATACATATAGATAGTATATACATTTATCGCTGTTTTCGAAATGGTTGAGAATGGTAGGATTTACAAAAAAAAATTTTTTCTGCCAAATACTTGAATACTTGAATACTCGATTAGTTTAGAATATTGATCGATGATCGATTCCTGATTTATGTATGTACTCACGTAATTGATTTATTAAACAATTACACAACTAGTTAGCCATGCATGTACGTTGACAATTATACTGGTTTGCATTGTAAATATATCTTGGCTGCTTTTGTTCTATAACTTTGTTCAAATAACGGTAACTAATTTTTTTATACATACATGAAACTATAAAGGCATATTGATATGTTATATTATAACTGTTTCTACTATATATAAACAGTAAACTACCTTTTTATTTTACATGGTGTCACTAAGTGAAAACCAGAAAGTTTAAAAATAACTTTCTTTAGACAACAGAATGCAAGCTTTTAACCGATCTGACTAGTATAATAAATTATGCTGTTTTTTGATCATATATTAAAATCTGTAGTCTATTGTCTAAAGAAAGCTATTTTAGACTTCCTAGTTTAGTGTTCCAAGTTGGTAAATATTTTACCAATCGATTAGTTGCCAACTATAGTTGCAACTAATCAATTGTTTAATCACATAGCATCATCAAATGATTAGCCAATCAAACCAAAACAATTAATTCAGATCTGCCTAACTAGATGGAATTTCTCAAAATTGTACTAGTTGAATGATTAATCGATTGGATGTTTAAAATTTTTTCAAATCGGCTAGTTGAAAAGTTAGCAATTAGTTGATTTTTCAACTAACGATTTGGAACACTATTTTGATTTTCACTTGGTGGCACGCATATAATAGTAAGCTTTTGTCTTTGAGTCTTTGCCATTACTTTTTTAGATTCTAACAAAGTAGTCAAGTAAGTAGCCTTTCCAGATTGAGCATTAGTAGTAAATTTTTTTTTTAAAAAAAAAAATTTTAAAAAAAAAATTTAATTAATCACTTTGAAGCATCATCAATTTTGCTGAATATACAGAACCAAATCTAATTTTTTTAACATTAGATAATTTATCTCAATCGCATCTCTATATATAAAGGTTCTGAGTTGAAATGCTTTCATACAATTGTCAATATCCTTACTTCTACTTGTCCATCACATTGCTATGTCAGGGCCACATATTAGACACTATGCTTCATTCGTTGAAGATTATAAAGTAATTGAACAATCATATTCTGGCTTATATATATTATTATTGAAGCATCTAATTGGGTTTGTTGATTTTTTATTTGCACTTTATTGTTTTTTAATATTCAAGTATTATAATTTTCAGAGGTAGCTGAGAAGTATCTTATTTGTGAATTTTAGGTTTGCTTACTAGCATAGGTTTTTCAGGATTATAGATATTTGCATTTTATCTTTATCTTGGTGATACTAAATACTTATATTATATTCTAACACTATTATATTGGGTTCTGCTTTTTATAGTGCGCAATTGTGATATTTTTAGAAGAATTTGTGATCATAATAATTATAGTTTTGCTCTTATAGTGCACAATTGTGAGGGTTGGTGATTATAATTAATATACTAACACTGTTGTATTAGATTTTGTTTTTTACAGTGCGATAGTATTTGTATGATATAATACAATTATGATCTCTTTAGCTAATTTAATAAATGTTGTATTAAGCTCCTGATTCTTATATACAAATTTAGGTGTTTGTCTATAAGCATAATTTTTTCAGAGTTGTTGGTGTTTGTTTTAGTAGTATCAAAGTATTTATCTTGTTGTATAGGATATATTTTGTTATATTGTAATAACATGTAACAATTGTTATGTCTTTAATAGGATTTGTGATGGATTAAATAAAGCTCTAAATAAAATTTAATAAAATCCATTCAGAGCTTTTGGCCCTTAAACAATTGATTTTCGCGAATATTTAAACATCGATTTAAAAAAAAAAAAGTAAAAAAAAAAAAATAGCATTACTTTACCAGATTGGCATATGCTTTTCGTGTCAAAAATGCATGTTTTGTTCTGCTAAACTCACCATAAATTTGTGTGAATATAATATTAATATAAAGCCTTCTCGTGTTAAGACCAATTCTCAGCAAATTTACAGTCGAATATATGATCTTTATAAAACCTCATCTAATCAAAAACAGTTACTTTGACACTATGATTGTCTCTTCGCTTATAACTGTAATTTCAATATATTATTTAATATAAAGTTTTGCTCCATCTGCCATTCGCAATACGAACGTACTAAAAGTTCTGAAGATTCAAGCATTAGCGATGATAATAACTATGATGATAACTATAATGATGATTCTTCAGCTTTATTAAAGGAAAGCTCTTCTTGCTTAAAACTAAAAGCTAAGGTTATAATCAGGTTGAAAACTCTACCTCTATATTTACAAAATGGTTTACTTTTAATTTAGATAAATTTTCTATTTTTCATAACCAACTTGCTGATTATATTTGTAAGTATACTGGTACTAATAATGTTAACATTAACGATGATATTAAAATTACTTACAAAGTAAATGCCCGTAGTCAAGAAATGACGTTAGAGGATGATGATAATTACAA